GGCTATATTATTTTATATGAAATTACTATAGAATTAACAGTTTTTTGCCTATATCTTTTGATTCAGTAATCCAAATTGAATAAGTTTGGTACTATTGGATTCCTCTCATTGAGATGAATCTAATGGTACCAAATTTATCTAATTTGGATTACTAAATTACAAGATAATCAAGGTTTTGTAAAAATTTATATATAAACATACGGATTTTTAAATTTTTTTATATAGTCTAGGGGTCAAGAGCTACTATGTGGGGTACATAACGTTATTTATGAATGCCCCCTAATGTAAAATAGTATCATACTACATCTTAAATTACAATTGTTAACTTTTAATAGTACTCCTGAGTAATACTGCAAGTGTAAAGATTCAAAAAGTACATTCATATATTTGTAGAAAGTTTGTCGAATTAATTTTCTAAATTCTGGGGTTTTTTATTCTTCTTTTATTTCTTGTAATGTTGATATGATACTGACAAGTGCCTTCACCTCAAGTTTATTATGAAATTTTGTTAGAATATTGCCAAGCTAATAAAAACTAAATGATGTGATATCTTTTCTAAACGATCCAACATAGTTGCATCTGAATATAAAATTATAGCTAAAACTTTATTTTCAGATTAAATACATTGTTGTGCATGACTCCACTAATTACAATTATACAATTCAGAGTATATCCTTTCTTGACATTTCTACAAATTAAAATAGACTTGATAAAAACTTATTGTACAAAGAGCAGATTGAAGTCTTAAAATTTTTTTACCCAATTGATGAATAAATTTTTTTATAATCAAAAACACAACTCACCACAATTTCTTGATTCTGAAAAATTTCTGTAATAGCTAAAATTATTGGTCAATATTCAAATGAATAGACTCAACCCTTTAATTTTGCAACAGGAGTTAAAAAAACCTTGGTATAACTTTTTTTCAGTGTATTCAAAAAAGAAGACTAGCTTTTGTTAATTGAGGTAAAGCTTGGTTTGAGACTTGGCTATGTTTCTTTATAAACTTCAATACTGCATCACTAGTCATATAAGAAAGCTGGTATTTAATTATCTAATAATGTTATAATGCTAGTTTTAGATACTAATTTTCAAATTTTATATGAAAACGATGATATATACAATTTTCTTAAATATATACTGCATTTTTTATATTAGCCAGAATGATACATAAGAATTTATAGTTATTTTGGCAGATTAAAATGCAATCTGATTAAAATAAAATTTTGTATCGTGTACAATAGACAAACTACTAAAAAATACAAAATTTTGGATTATAATTTTTAGCTTTTTTAGTATCAGGAGTTAGCTTTAAGGTATAATTTATAGAAGATTAAATAAAAACTCCAAAATTTTATTTTAATCCATTTTTATAATAGCCTGAAACAACTATTATATCAAGAGTTTATAAAAAGCTACAAATACTTACTATCTCTATAAAATCCTGATATGCTAAACTTGGAAATTCTGCATTGTTTATCTTATTGCAATCACTATATTCACTATCATCACTCAAACTTTTGTTAACAGTCTTGTAATTTTCTAATATACATTCTTTAGATCTTTGACCAGACTCACAAATAACTATTTGATTAGCGATATCTTGTTTATTCAATATTGGATTAAGTTCATCAAATATCGGGCTAGATTCATCGAATATTGAACTAGATTTATCAAATATTGAACTAGATTTATCAGATGTTGAACTAGATTCATCAAATGTTGAACTAGATTCTTCAAACATTGGATTGGATTCTTCAAACATTGGATTAGATTCTTCAAATGTTGGATTGAGTTTTTCAAATGTTGTATTGGATTCTTTAAATATTGAATTGGGTTCTTCAAGCATTGCATTAGATTTTTCAAATATTGGATTGGGTTCTTCAAATGTTGTATTGAATTCTTTAAATATTGGATTAGATTCTTCAAATATTGGATTGGATTCTTCAAATGTTGGATTGGATTCTTTAAATGTTGGATTGGGTTCTTTAAATGTTGGATAAGAATCTTCAAATATTGTATTAGATTCTTCAAACATTGTATTAGATTTTTTAAATATTGTATTAGATTCATTAATATTCTTGAGATCAAATATTGGACCTGATTTGTCAATGATATCTTGGTTATCAGAACTATGAATCTCTATATTCTCATTATCTATATTTGTACTATTATCAGAGTTATCTTCAACCTGATAGTAGTTTTTGTAAACTTTTTTGTGATTTTTAAAGCACGTTAAATGGTCAAATCTTTCTTTATACACACTACAAATAAACATTGAAAATGGCTAAAAAAATAAATAAAATTAGATTATAAATATTTTAATCAGATATCTTATTATAATATAATATTTAGTGTTGATTTGCACGCTATTAAGTTTTTTTTTTTTATCTTTTGCTTTTAATTTTCATTTTATTGTAAGAAATTACTAAAACTATTTATTAAAAAGACCTTTTGGCTTTTATAATATTTAAAATACTTTTAACTTTTAATTGCATCATTGATTTGCATCATATTTAATTACGCTATTCTCTTTTTGGATTAACAATTAAAACCAAATATTCTAGATTATTACATATAAAAGATTATATAATAATAAAACAAGCAATAGAATATTATTTAATAAACAAATAATGATCAAACAAATATTCTGGTAGGCTACAGGTTTGGATCTATTAGATCAGTCAAAATGTATATTATACAAATTAGTCTAAAGTTATTAATATATAAACATTTTTGAAGCAAAATTACTATGATTTTTTTACTTTTTATAACTACAGTGAAACTTGTCAAGTCTTTGTTAAATGTAAAGATAAAATTTAATGTCTTAACACTTGTAAATAAATTTTTTTAATTCATTACATTTACACATACCATACTATTTATTATTCGAAGAGTAAATCAGAGTCTTATGATTTATTTATAATACTCTTGCTTATACTCAGGTAATTTGAATTCTAATTTTCTCAAAAAAGAGGTTTTATATTTAAAAAAAACATTACTTTTAATTTAGTTCTTGTTACTTTAACCAGAAGTTCTTTTGCACGGCCATAGCAAATTAATCATATGACCCTCAACAAAATAATGAAAAGATAAAAGAAAAATATCAATTGTGTGTAATAACATCAATATAAGTAGATTTTTAACCCCAAATAAATCAGTAATCCTGTGGCATTGTTTTTATATCTTGTGTTATATATATTTTTAACCTTCTTTTAAGTGAATTTTTTGTGTACTACAATTAGCAGTAATCATGTTTTTTTATTTTTTAAACCTTTTTTACTTTATGTCTACTAGAAATCAAAAATGAAAACATAACTTGGAACAAAATAAAATTGATTTGGTAATCGATATATTTAGACTTTTATAGATTTTTAAAAAGTTGTTAAAATCTTACTTGCTTTGTTTCTTTTAAGCTAGACGTATTAAAATCTGGCTCATCAACTTCTACAACAAAAAAGAAGCATAATACAAAAAATTCTACTAGTCAATCCTTCAGAAGCGTGGATAAAGTACTGTCAAACAAGAATAATGTTGATAATATCAGTGTTACAATATTGATGATATTCAAAGTGAAAAGTGCATCAGGAAATTTTATTACTAGATATATATCGATATATAACATTATATCGATATATATCATTAGAAAAATATGATATATATCGATAAATGTGGTATTACTCGATATTTAACCAATATCGGTAAATATCGATTATTAGATGTTCATCGATTATACATCGATATCGATAATC